ACTATTGGACACGTTTGGATGCTTTGAGTTGATTAACACGTGCGAGTTGATCATCGTGTGCGTGTTGACTGACGTGCACGCGGGCCACTTGGCGCTTGTTGTTGTGGTGGTTCGTTGTCGTGTCATCAACCATTTACCGATTCGCTTCATGCGCTTATCTGCGTCAGATAATTCTCTTCCATTTGGATAATGACATTCATCGCCTTCTCTTTGTCTCGATCTGTATTCGGGGACCTATAGGTAATTTTTGATACCTACAGAAACAAAGATTCTGAGGGAGGTAAACCGATTTGACCTTTATTTAATTTAGTTGGTGTCTAAGATAAGAGTTAGGGTGACAAAAGCCCTCACAAGAATTGCATGTTTAGCAAATAGGTTGGATTAATATCTTTTATTCATGTTTTGCTTTGCTTGTTTAATTTTCATGGTTAGTTTTATTGTTTAATTTAGGTGTACATCTAATTTCATGTTTGGATAATTAGTTAATTTTCTTGCTATTTTTTAATTAGTATCATTACTTGTCTTTTTATTCATGATTTCTTCATTTGCTCATAATTTAGGATTGAATAAAATGTGTGGCTAAATTTCTTAGGATAATTAAGGTGAGAGGAAATTAGTATAACTTATTTATTAGAATTAGATTTGCCCTCTTTTATGCCTTAATTATTTATGTATAGATTAATCAATTAAAATTATTTTTGATAGAATATACTAATTTGGTATATTATATTTTTCTTAAATGGATTGATAATCTATGCTTATTAGTATTCTAGGATTGCTATTTTTAATTGATTGGCTATGCATAAATTTTATTTTTATTTTTTAGAATCTATCTTCATAATCTATGCTTTCCTTAATTAAATTTATAGGTCATGCTTGTTAATTCTAAAAACGCATTTTTGGGAGCATTAGCCATATAGCCGTCATGGATGGATAGAGTGATTAATGCTTAATTAGAAAACTCCTGGATTCAAACCCAAATGGATGGAATTTTTAAAGAAGTCCAAGGCCGATTGGACCATCGGATCGGATGGAGGTCTTCGACTGGAAGGCTGGTTAGTAGTGCCCGATAATCCATAGTTGAAGAAGGATCTATTTGATGGGACGCATCGTACTAGGTATACTATGCATCTAGGCACAACCAAAATGTATGAGGACATGAAGAGATGTTTTTGGTAGAGCGTCATGTGTAGGACATTGTGGAGTATGTGGCTAAGTGTTTTACATGCCAGCAAGTGAAGGCAGAACATCAAAGACCCGCAAGAACCCTACAGCCTTTACCCATTCCGGAGTAAAAGTGGGCAGATATTTTTATGGATTTTATTATAGAACCATTGAGGTCAAAGAAGGGGAAAGATTCTATTTAGGTGATAGTTGATCGGTTGACAAAGTCAGCACATTTCATACCAGTGAAGACGACATATACAGCGAAGACTTATGTGAGGATATTCATCCAGGAGATCATGAGACTACATGGAGTTTCAGAGACTATTGTATCAGATCAAGGCTCGGTTTTCACTTTATATTTCTGGAGGAGCTTCCAGAACTCGTTTGACAGCTAATTATCATATTCTATTGTGTTCCACCCACAAACAGATGGGCAGACAGAGTTAACCAAGTGTTGGAAGACATGTTGCAGGCATGTACTATTGATTTCCAGGGTAGCTGTGAGAATCACATCCCATTGATTGAGTTTGTTTATAACAACAGTTATCAAGTGATGATATGTATGTCACTGTATGAGGTATTATATGGGAGGCCTTGTAGATCCCCTATTTGTTAGGTAGAGCCGGAGGACAGTTTGTTACTCGGACAGGAGCTTGTGAGACAGACTACAGAGAAGGTAGTAATAATTAGGGAGCATATTCTTGCAGCGCAGAGTCGACAGAAGAGCTACACGGACCAGAGGCGATGACCATTAGAGTTCCAGGTTGGGAACTATATTTTGTTGAAAGTATTGCGAATGAAGGGAGTTCAGCGATTTGGCAGACAGGAAAAGCTTGCCCCAAGATATATTGGTTCGTTCTAGATTGTGGAACATGTTGGTGCCCTTTCGTATTGGCTAAATCTTCTAGCATCGATGTCGAACATACACGAGGTTTTCCATATTTCGATGCTCAAGAAGCATTTACACGGCTAGGAGCAGCAGAGAATGTTGGATGCACCAAAGATTGAGTTTTATGATGATTTGATCACTATTGAGATTCTAGTTCGTATTCTTGCAAGAGAGGACAAGAGACTTAGAAATAAGTTGATTTTCTTAGTAAAAGTTCAATGGAATCGGAAAGGAGCTGAGGAGGCTTCTTGGGAACGCGAAAAGGATATACGTCGTGACTACCCGCACCTGTTTGAGTAGGTAAATTGTTAGTATTAAATTGCTTGTGTTTATGATTATCTGTATAGTCGTATTTATATTTAACGCTGGAATGGGGGTATAAATGCTGGAATGGGGGTATAAACACTTATCTCCTAATTAATTGGAACACATGGTATATATATGGGGGGTTCCTTGTTTAGATTTTTCGCCCGACGTACTAGTTCCGTTTAGTTAGGGGTTAAGTGAGAGTATTTACATTCTAGATTGTTAAATGTAAATATCACTTATGTTTAATATCTATAGATTAATGGTACGAGATGTATATGTGAAGGTTTCCTTTTCTGGATTATCCCCTAAACATGCTTTTCTAGTATTATTAATCTCTAAGATACGAATACGGAATTTTGGGGATAAAAGTCTCTTTAAGGAGGGGTGAATGTAAAGCCCTAAAAATTTGGAAAATGATTTTAAATGAGTTTTATTGCACTACAACAAAATACAACATTGCCGACGAAACAAAAACGTCGGCAAATGTTTAAAAAACGTCGGGAAAAATATTTCCCGACGTAAAATACAGCGTCGCTAACGCGTCGCCAAAAGTGTGTCAATGAATGTATTTAGCGACGCAAATACACTGTGTCGCCAAAAGTACACTTTTGGCGATGCGACATGCGTCGGGAAAAGTACATCTTTTAGCGACGCATATTATTTTGCGTCGGCAAAAGCATGCTGAATTTTTCCATATGCGTAATGGCGTCGGGAAATCTTGCACTTTTGGCGACGTACTTAACGTCGGCAAAGGGCAATGCGTCGGCAAAAGTATACTTTTAGCGACACGGAAAGGAGTGTCGCTAAAAAGCTTATCTTTGGCGACACATGATTTACGTCGGCAAAAGTGTAGCTTTTAGCGACGCTCTATTCTGCGTCGCTAAAAGCTACACTTTTGCCGACGTAAATCACGCGTCGCCAAAGATTAGCTTTTTAGCGACGCTCCATTCCGCGTCGCTAAAAGTGTATTTTTGCCGACGCAAAGAAGCTTTTATATTTGTCATGACTATGCCTATTCATAACTTGTCTCAGTTCCTCTTCCTCCTCTAAGAAAACACTTCCACATACTTGCATCCTAATTCTTAAACTCAAATAATTCGTTACTTCCCTCAGCAAGAACAGATAGATATCGCCTATCCCACTCAAGCCAAGGTACTCTATATTGTGGCATAATAATCAACTCATTGTCATTTGCATGGCTTAGTGTTCACCTGTATTCAATGTGACAAAAAATTTACCCAAAGATGTCCATAACAGTAGCATATAGGTATAAGATACTTCTAACCATAGACACACAAAATCACAAATGTAAAGCAAGAAGAGGGTATTCTACAATCAATACAAACGATTAGAATAATTCTTAATTACTTCAATTTTTTTCCCCGTTCCTCCCACGATCCAAGACTTCGAACTACCAGTAAATTGTCGAAATATCATACTGAAATCTGATATTATTTGCTAAAAGTTCTAGATCGAAATTATCCTAAATGATCTTGAGAATTCAGTATCACATATTTCCTCTTTATAAGGGTAACAGATTCCTTAAAATTGATCACAATTACGAATTCAAAACAAATATAACAAGATCAAGCTGTAATAGAAGCTGAGAGAAGTAAATCAATCGAAATCATCACAAAAAATTTAAAATAATTGCTGCAAATTACCAAATGAGAGAGAGAAGGGTACTTGAGATGGCGTGCGAGGCCGAGCTCGAAACCCCAGATGGCGGCAAAAGGAAGCCATCAAGAATAATTTATGAATTTCACATAATGAAATGAAATGAAATGAAGCTAATGTGGGGAATGCAACAAATGATGCAATCACTATCTCAGTTCTGATGTTCTTCACATAATGAAATGAAATTCATGAATTTCATGTATCCTTGATTCTAAGAATTGTGAAGTTACCAACTTTGTCCGGACATGAAGCTAATGTGGGGAATTGCACATATGAAGAAAGCTTTAGCCTGCATTTCATCACTTTTAATTGTTTTCAAATACTTCGTAATAACAACCACTTTTAATTGAAATTCATGAAAGCTTTAGCTAAGAGCAAGGAGGTAAATTTACCCACCTGTAATAACAACCAGTTTAAGATTTTAAAAAGTTGAAATTAGAATCAATGGTTAGTGTGGTTTAATAATTTAATTAAGGAAGAAGGATCAACATATTAGACCTTAAAAGTCTAATTTCCTCTAAAAAGATGATATCTTTAGAGTTTAGTTCTCCTAGCTCTTGAAAACTTGTGATATTCTGCAATGAATTACGGAACTACGAATTTGTCTAGCTAAAGGCGCTTCTTCCAATTTGATCTGGAATAAGAAGTGGGTTTGAGAGAAAAAATACAACAGCACAAGGCAATCATTATTCACTCAATGACCAATGTTGCATATTTGGAGCAGACGGTTGTTTGGGTCTAAGTGAGAGTTGTAATTCAGTGTGAAGGTGAAAAAAGCAAAGAAATATAATACTGTAAACAAGAACTCGGTCATGCAGATACTAGACAGAAATTTTAAAGGCAAAAATTAAAAGTCAAAATCACATAATACACAAAACAAAAAAGTTAGAACTTTTTAAGGTTCTACGTTCTTGATGAAGTAAAATGATTTAGATCACCTAAATGATTGCTTGAACCAGGAAATCAAATGCAGCAAGAAGGCATGATCTTTCTCTTCTTTTGAAGGTTTGAACTTTCCCTCCTGTTGAAACAGATGAGCCAATCTCACAAGAGATTAAGTCAAAGATAATATAAGAGCACGGTGCAAACTAACACAGTTTTATATTAAGTTGTCTACCATGCAAAAGCAAACTCGATAAGGTACCTAATTAAAGAAATATGACCAGTATGGTAGAAAAGAGAGTCTGAATCAGGAGATTTGCTTGAAACATAAATACTTCCTCAATTGAGCTATATAAATGCCCAGCTTCTCAATTAAATTATCAGCTACCATATACCGTCATATGGCCTCAAGCCATGTTTCTTTAGCCTGGGATCCATATCTATCTTCAAATAAAGTTACTTCTAGTGTCTTACTAGTGCACACATTAATAGTCTTACACTCTTTAGCTAGGACTAAGTTAAAAATGGATATAACAAATTGCAACTCGGTAACTAAAACATAAAATGTGCACCTTGGCCAAAGAAACCAGTGCCTTCTCCTCAACTTCATCAACAGGAACAGACTTTCGTGCAGCCTCCTGGCGAACTGGGTCCTCATACTACATCCCCTCAAAAATGACACCAAAAGTAAAACATAAAATTAAACAATTTAGATATTGAAACATATAATTATATAGAAACTTCAGTAAATGTCAAAGAATTACCAAGAATACTTGCTTAACATAAGGCCACACTCTCCGTTCAAATTCCCCACTATTTTCACTTGCTCTGTATTGTTGAAAGAAAAGTGCATCCTCTTCAGCCTAAAAACATGCAACATTTATAAGTTAAAAAATGCAATCATCTCATTAGTAATACATTCATGTACCTCTTCTTTATATTCAGCTCAATTGGGTGACTTATTTATTACTCCTAAAGATATCTGTTGGATTCGAAAAAGCACAGACACAAACATAGGCATGTTGATACATACAGGATACACTGAGATATCAAAACAGGTACAAGGAAAGAATGTCTATAGCTATAAGTGTCAAGTCTGCTTCGTGTATCCGAGCTGCACAACTTCATGTCGAAATGGCCATACTTTGTCCATATTCATCGATAACAACCCAAAGTTGTCTGAAATTTTTCGAGATCTAACTCTTTGCACATTCGATCCCTCCAAAAGCTGGAATTAAAAGTAAAATACTAATTTCTAAACAAGAATCTTAATAGATAACCTATTAAATCTAAAGTGTCATCAACTAAAATGTTTTCCTTGTCCTTTAAATTTCTCATTATCTTAAATATCTACTTTTATGCCTACAAATTCTCACTGTGTTTGTGAAACCTTTACAAGGAGACAAAAAATGATGTGGATGTCAATGGTTTATGGAGCCTATCATTTCAATGAAGTACTTTGATCACAAAAATTCACAATGAGAATTATATCGAAGGTTTATATATTGTATCCTTTTCAATTGCATTTGTATTTGCATGTACCCAGAAGGAACTAGAAATAACACAAGATGCTAACATCCTTAGAATATGCACAACTTCAGTTTCTTAATAGGGGTTCTCTGGCTAGAGCATAAGTAAGTGAACGAATGAGAACACAGAAGAGGAAGAAGAAAATAATGTAACCAGCATTTTCCTTTTCCTTCGCAACTATTTCATCATCTTAAGGGCAAATCGCATTGCTTTCTCACTACAAAGAATAAAAGGCACCAAATGCAAAACATAGCAATTAAATAAGTAAACAATCTTAATTCCACAGATTTAAACTTCCATTCAATACATCAAACTTTAAAAAGAGATGGAAAAATGACCGCAAAAGAGGGAAAATCAGGGGTTCTTTCCCTCAGGACCAAGAATCCCATTAACAACCGAAACTCCGACCAAAACCCCGACCGCCTCCGCTCCTGCCACCACTCCGGCCTGCACAACCCCCCCAGCACCAAACCCTAGCTCACCGGTGGCGATCTTCTCCTCCACCACCTCGATCCCCTTCTCCGCCACCTGAATCTCCTTCTCGACAACCTCCTCGCCCTCCTTCACGATCGCCTCCGCCTCCTCCTCCACCTTCTTTAGCTTCTTCCTCAGCCCAAAGAGAGGAATATCCTCCGCCCTTGATGACGAGGTGAAGGAGGGAGCAGAGATGGCTGAGGATGAGAGGAGGAAGAGGGAGAGAACGGGGGAATTTTCTGATGAGAGAGAGAACAAATGGCTGAGGATAAGAGGAGGAAGAGGGAGAGAACGGGGGAATTTTCTGATGAGAGAGAGAACGGGGGTGGGGTTTTTTAGCTCTTCGTGAAAATAAATGGGGGGAATTTTCCCTCCTTTGTACGAGTGGGGAAAATTTCGGGGGGAGGGTTGGCGACGCTGATAAACGAAGAAGCGTCGTAAAAAATGTAACCTTTAGCGATGCCAAGGAGGAACGTTGTGAAGAGAACACTTTTAGCGACGTTAGTTTAATACGTCGCCATAAATGCACACTATTAGCGACGCTAATCCTAAAACGTCGCTAAAAAGCTATACTTTTACCAACGAAAATAAAAAAACGTCGGGAAATCCATAACTTTTACCGACGCTAAGTTAAAACGTCGCTAAAAATATACACTTTTAGCGACGCTAATTATAAACGTCGGGAAATATATATTTTTTGCCGACGCTAACTAAAAGCATCGGGAAAAATATAATTTTTGGCGACGTTTTTAACCATGCGTTGGGAATAAGCGTCGGGAAAAGTATAATTTGTTGTAGTGTTGTGATTGGTGATCATTCTGAGATGAATGGATCAATTTGGAATCGATTTGAGATCGATTCGCAGTCTCAGTCCCGGTATCGTGAGTCTACTGAAAACTGTTACTTTTTTATTTTTAGTAATTTTCTATTGATTAGATGGGAATGAGATTTGAGCTATTTATCTTAGAATGTCAAGACTGTGCTGTGTTTAAAGTTTTATTGTGTTCTAACGATGGCGACTGAAACACTATTTTGAGACGATATTGCGAGTCTGTTGGCGTCTGTCATATTTTCATTGTTTTCTAAAAACGGAGTCTAAAATCCTATTTTTAAATAATATAAAATATTATTTATATTATTTTATAACCCACCTAACCTCATCTATACTGTGCCACCTACCCTCCTCATCTCACTCTATAAAATCACCCTCCTCTTCACTCTCCTCACACAGCGAGAAAGAAAGAGAAGGGGGGGAGAGAGAGAGATAGAGAGAGAGAGAGAGAGAGAGAGAGAGAGAGAGGGGGGAGGGAAATAGAGAGGAGGAAAAGAGAGGAAAAGAGGGAGAGGATTTTGGTTTTTGAAGATCAGGAACGGATAGAGATTCCAATTTTAGTGATTAATAAAGACAAATTCATCTCTTTCCATACTCATCCCTAGTTAGTTTTGATCTTGATAAAAAAATTGATGAATGAAATTTTAGATCAAATCCCAAAAATAAAGAAAAGACATGATATTGATAAAAATTAATGAATAAAATATTAGATCAAACCCCTAAAGACATGATCTTTCTAGCTAGAACTATATATATCTGTCCACCGCCGAAATTACTATTACTATTCATACATACGAATACTATTATCATTACTATTCATATGTATGTGTACTATTCATAAGTACTATTACTATTTATAAATATTGTTATTATTCATACGTACGAATATTATTATTGTTACTATGCATACGTATAGGCACCATTCATAAATGTTATTACTATTCATACATATGATACTATTCATAAGTACTGTCACTATTCATAAATATTATTACTGTTCATACGTACAGATACTATTACCATTTAAGCGTCATAGTGCCCGAGGTGTATAGTTTGTAAAAAAATTCAAAGTGATGCTAGTATCCATTAAAGAGGCAATAATATTTGAGTATGCTAATCTCTTCTTGACCAAGCCGTAACACCAATCTCAAGAAGAGTAGAGCAATCTCTAAATATTTACTCCTTAGATATTAGTATCACTTTGTTTGTAAAAAAATTTAAGAGGTGCATACTTCCAGAAATGTATCTCTTTCTGTTAATTACTCTTGCTAAAAGAAACCCCTGATTAGTAGAAAGCAAAAAATTCAATAGACGTTAGAAATTAAATGCAGAAAATATTGATTTTATTGTCTTTCTAATGTATTACAAAACTGAAGAGAAAGAAGATGTGATCTTGGGTCTAGAGACAATATTCTGGAACCCTCCTCCCTTTCAAAAATAAAAATGCAGAGGACCTTGTCGCTGTTGTTTCAAAGTCTAAGTCTCTCCTTCTTTTCAATCTCTCCTTCTCTTTTCTGTCATTTCTTTTTTTATCCTCTCCCCCTCGAATGGCAAATGAGGTCTCAATTTATATCAAAAACCAAGGGGAAGTTATCGTCAGGTGTTTAAAATGGATTGGTGGCGGAGTTATTGTAACTTCCTCATCGAATCTTCCTTATCAAGATTGTTACGTTCGTTTATCATAACGAACGTCTTCTTTGCTTTTCATTTCTCAAGTGCTTATCTGCTTATCTTTCTTGTTTCTAAAATAAGTATAAATGGAGAGCCCTTATCCCTTTAAGTTGAAATAAGGTTCGTATGAGGGTGGGTATCCTCGAGTTAAATTTTATAGCTAAGGCTTATGATCACATGACTTTCAAATTTACATGAGGTGTTGTCATCCTTAACTTAATTTTTATTTATACGAGGTACTACACCTCATATTGATTAGGATTTGTATGAGGTACTGATGTCATCCTTAACTTAATTTTTATTTATATGAGGTACTACACCTCACATTGATTTCGATTTGTATGAGGTTCTGTTGTCATCCTCAACTTAATTTCATTTATGTGAGGTACTACACCTCATATTGATTTTGATTTTGTATGAGGTAATATCCCTCACATTAGTTTTGAATTTTATGAGGTATTATCATCCTCACATTAAGTTTCAATTATAGGGCTTGTTCATATAATTTTTTTTTTGTATCTACAAATTGCCCCCCTTGGCTTATGTGCTCAGTTTTTTTTTAACCGAGTGCCTAAGACCAAGTTTTTTTTATTACTGTTTACTATTCTTCCGACTATTATTCATCGGGTTAGTGTTCATTCGGTTCGGTTACTATTTTTTTCGCTTGAGGTTGTCATAGCTCTGACACCTCTTTTGATTTTTTTAGTTTTTTTTCAATTTTTTTGGAGCCGGTCTTCTCTTCTCCCGTGAGATTTTTTTTTTGGCATAAGGCTGCTGTCTGCTCAAGCCATCTGCTCCTTTTTGAAAAAAAAATTCGTCTTATTCTTATGTACTTTTCTTCCTTTAGTCTTTTTTAGTCCTTTTCTTTTCATGTCTCATTTTTTTACGATAAAACCCCATCTTCTTAGGTTTTCTTAGATTTGTTTTAATTCTGGTATTTTATTTTATTTTGTAGGTTTTATTATTGATTTACTACCTAAATTATCAACTACTTTCTTATTTTACTACCACAAGGTAATAAATTTTTTCCTTTCTTATTGAATGTGATTAAGTATTAATTAGTTGACATTATTTGTAGGTTTCTTGACCGCCCGTCGGAAAATTACAGTAAGTCCTTCTAGCAATTTTTTTAAAGTATATAAAATAGCATAGCTATATTCTTTTTATTGATATCAATAAACTTGTTTATATGTACAAGATATTAAAATCATCAATTATAATATTTGAGGCTTATGTGTGATTACAATTGTAGTAGGATATGTTTGCCCATTTTTTTAAAATGCATCACGATGTCAATTTAAATTAAATTTTAGAAATTGTATCCTTATCCTTTATTTCAAAGCTTTATTCTCAAGGTGACATGGGGTTCAAGTACGAAAGTCAAATTCCAGAACGGAGGACCATGCACCTTGAAAGCTTCACGCTTCAAGAATATTTTTTTTTGAGACATGGACCATAATACAGAAAATATATTTTAGGAAACCCTAAGGCCTTACTCCTCAATGCAAAATAGATGAATGTTGCATTAATTCATAAAATAAATTCAAAACCATTAGGTTTTTTTTCTTTTGTTTCAAAAGTTTATTCTTAAGGTGCCATGGGGTTCAAGTATGGAAGTCAAATTTCAGAACGGAGGACCATGCACCTCGAAAGCTTCATGCTTCGAGAATAATATTTTTGAGGCATGAGCCATGATGCAAAAAATAAATTTTAGGAAACCCTACGACCTTGTTCCTTAATGCAAAATAGATGAACTTAGCCTTCATTCATAAAATAAATTCAGAAACTTTAGGTTGCTCTCCTCTGTTTTAAAAGTTTATTCTCAAGATGACATGTGGTTCAAGTACGGAAGTCAAATTCCAGAATGGATGACCATGCATCTCGCAAGCTTCATGCTTCGAGAATAAAATTTTTGAGGCATGAGCCATGATGTAGAAAATAAATTTTAGGAAACCCTAAGGCCTTGTTCCTTAATGCAAAATAGATGAACTTAGCATTCATTCATAAAATAAGTTCATAAACTTTAGGCTGCACTCCTCTGTTTCAAAAGTTTATTCTTGTTTGAGGAGAAAGTTGATTTCTTCATTGAGGTAATCATTACAACTTCAGTCATTACAATAAAAATACAAAAAGATAGTCTTTTTATAAGACTTACACAATGAAAATACAATTCTCGTCAAAACAAACATAGAGATCGTTTATCGGTCTTCTGCTTGCGTGAGATCTTGGCATGTGACAGGGACTTTAATATCCGTAGACTACCAAATGATCAGATTAGATCTGGATCTTTGTTGATTCACGAAGGAATACAGAAACCGAAGCAATTATCTTGGCAACAGAGAGATAACCATTCTTCTCGAGATCACCGCAACGGGGTAATCTCAAGGAAAAGAACCGGGCTGCAGATCTGACGAACTCCTCTTCTTTATACTGAAGAATTCACTAAAGTCTCCTCCTCCTCTCTGAAATTCGTTGCTCTCCAGTCTCCAATTCAGCAGGGCTTCACCAACGCTTGAGAATTCCAGATCTAAAAAAATGAAGACCCTAGGACTGTATTTATAGGCTTAGGGACCCTAATTTTTAGATAAGAACGATCGATTCGATCTTGTCTTTAGTTGTAACCACTTAACCACGTTCTTGGATGATATCAGATCAATTGAAATAAATCTAGGTGGTTAACGATCGAAAAATAGATTTAATCTGCCAAAAATAGCATTTCGGGTCTGCGGACACTCGTGGGTGTCTCGGCCAAGCTTGGGCCGAGACACTCCTTGGTGTATTAGCCAAGCCTTAGCCGAGACACCCTTGGGTGTCTCAACCAAATCTTGGCTGAGACACCTCTTGGTGTCTCGGCCAAGCCTTGGCCGAGACACTCCTTGGTGTCTCGCCGAGGTTTGACGCATTATCCCGGCGTTGTGTCCGTTTTTGTCGTAAATTTGTCTTCCAAACTTGGAATCACGCGATTTAAAATACGTTGGAAAGCCGATGAGAAGATCTATAAGCTCTAATGATTGAATCATATGTGGAGTAAATAGGACACAAGGGATGCTTCGTCTTTCGTAAGCAACACGGAGCTCCCGATCAGCTCGTGTTTCCGTTATTCCGAAGTTTCGTTGCTTCGTATGGTCCGTCGACTCACTTCGTACATTTGTCATCATCAAATGAGCTTCTGTGACTCAAATAGTGTTATTCATCATCTTCTCTCTATCTCGAGCCTCGTGCGGGGACCTATAGGTAATTTTGGACACCTACAAATAACCTCTCCAAAGTGTTTCAGTCTCGTTTCTTTTATAAATGAGCCTGAAATACTTTAGATATGATCGGTCTAATTTTTAGTCGGTATAAAAGGACCTATAGTTAACTTTGACTCTTGACTTCTTCGATTTTTAGTCTATTCAAATTTTAATGAATAACCAAAGTTATTCCGGTGCTGCGTTTATCGTCTTGCCGTCGTCGAAGTCTCGAATCGAAACTGAGGAGTTGATTTTGGCTCGTATCATCGAATTGACTTTTAACTGATTACCTTCATTAAAAATGCATTGACTAGCATTGACCTAGGGTTACGCATTGACTGACGTTGACCTAGGGTTACGCGTTGACCGACGTTGACTTTTTATCACAACGTGTTAACTTCTCATCACAATGCGTTGACTGACGTTGACCTTCATCGCAACACGTTGACTAGTGTTAACCTAGGGTTACGCATTAACCAGCATTGACCTTAGGGTTTTGGATCGCCTCGCGTTGACTTTTCATCGTAATACGTTGACCGGCGCTGACCTTAGGGTTTCGGATCACCCCGCGTTGATTTTTTATCGAAACACATTGACTAGCATTGACCTAGGGTTACGTGTTGATCAGCATTGACCTAGGGGTACGTGTTAACCGGCGTTGGCCTTAGGGTTTCGGATTGCCCCTCGTTGACTTCTCGTTGCAACGCGTTGACCAATGTTGACTTTCATCGCAATGCATGATAGTCTCAAGTGTTGAGGTTACAGGACCAACTATTAAAGCTGATTTATCAGTAGGTATGGATCTTATCCTGAAGTTGTTAGATGCTCAAGTCACGAGACCAACTAATGAAGCTGGTGCGTCAATGACTCTTACATGTTTATGATTTTTAGCAAACCCTCAGCCATCAACGGGTTTGATGAGCCTTTACTGACTACCGTTTTAGTCGAGCTAGCATGTAGATTGTTTAAGTCTGTTCTGCATGTAACGTTATGCTAAAATAGTTAATTCTTTTAGTGCTACGATATTTAATACGTAGATTTCGTCTTTCTCACGGGAATAGACTACCCAGCCGTATGCATCAGATGCAGACTCAGGATTTTTGGTAAATCCTTAGCCATCAACAGATTTG